GCAAATACGTACATTATGTAGCACTGAGCCGGCAGTGAGGACACTGAACAATGAGCCCCATCCCAGAGGCGCTCCGCAGCCAGGAAACTACTCACGTGTAAGTCGCCCGCACCTGGCAGCCAAGGCCAGGACCTCGGAACTAAAGAAGGGCTCTGGGAGCACGAGGACTGAGTCATAGCTTTTGCTGCCAGCCCCTCCCCTAGCCGGGGACCGTATGTGTAAGATGGCCAGCTCGGTCAGGTGGCTGTTGGGACCACAGGACTAGCGTCTCTGTCGACATCTGTAATTGACCCTGTTTATAGTTTTTCAGCCGTGGACCATAGTTTTAAAAAGTTTCGTCCACCAAAATTTTCATTTTCCTCTTTTCTAAATAGTTAATATGGCCCAAGACTCCAGGCTTCTGTGTGTTTGCTAACCAATGTCTTCTTGCTCAATTTACATAATTTTGACCACCAGTAAAGAAACTGTGTGCAGTGATGATATCAAGACAGCATTCTGAAGCCCCGAGAGATGGCATCGGACCACCGTAAGTCCTTCAGGCAGTGGCCGGCTACAGAGATACTTAGGGAATACGCTTCCGGGCCCATCCCTAAAGTCGAGAGTCTCTCTGGAATATTTTAACCAATCTTCATAGCTTGAGAACTATGAATTTCATCAGAGAGAGTCCATTTCTCGCATCTGCTATGCTAATTAGCAAACGACTGATTTCACCGATGAAAACCTCTGTGGAAATGTTAGCAGCATCTGGCATGCATCAGAAATACAGTGCTAATTAAGGCAACTGTCGTCGTTAGCTCTGGAGTGTGGCCTTTCCGATAAAATGTTAGGTGATCATCCCGAAGCCTGAATTCCTGATGAGGGAACTGGCAGCTTTTAGAGTGTGGGTTAAAAGATGTACACTTCTATAGCACGTTCTGTCCACTAAAGTATTTTAAAGAAAATTATAGACGTTCTCGTGCCATCCACGTGAAGACCTCATCCATCCGTGTACCGAGCATGCCGAGTCTGGGGGGAGGGGAGCATGAGACACGCTTTCTAATGGAGATGCTCTATCCCAGGGGAGAGAAGCCCCACCATCGTGTTCTATCTCTGTTTAACTGATTTCTAAACCGTTTAGAGCATTCTGGGGTCCTCCTGGGTTTCGTGAGCACGTGTACAGTCATGCTCGGTTTTGAGGAAGAGAGGTGGGGAGCCAGGACACCCCCGGAAGACGGAGCGGGCAACGCTCAGCCTTCAACGTCGAGTGTCCCTCCCAGGAACTGCGAGAACGTTTCCACGCCAAGAGTGGGCTCTGGGAGCAGATACGATTGTTCTCTCGTTAGCCAACCTGATTTCAGGCCTTGACTTTATGCCACGACTCTGATCCCTGCCCGGAAGTGGTACCCCACATACCTGCGCTGCCCCCGCCCACCCCGTGTGCGAAATGCATCGAGCATCACGGCCTTTCCCACGCTGCCCAGCACTGAGAACCCCACGTAATTAGCTCCCACAAAAGAAAGGGCTGAGCAAACTCAGAGCAAACGCCTTTCGTCTGAAATCGGATGCAGAAACCCCCGTCAGCATCAGCATGGCCTTGTTCCTAAGAATGAGTGGGAGGACAGAGTCACCCTCTCGCTCAGGGAGGAAGATGCTGGAGAGAGGGTCACGTGACTGTCCAGGGTCAGGTGTCGCCTGTGGACGCCAGGATTCGGAGGGATTGCCATTACCAGCCACGGGAGTGCGGCTGATCAAATTAAGGAAGCATATTTTTTTTTTTTAATTGAATTCCGTCCTCAATGGAAACGGTCTTGCTAATGCTTGAGGAAAGAATTACACCCAGTCCATAAAGCCCAACATTTTTCAACCCAATTTTGCGTAATATCGCAAAGGTTAATTCAAGATCTCTCTTCCAAGTAGGAAGTTAACCGCAGCCAATGGAAGGATGGCGTCTGTGGACCAACTGGGGTTTATCAGTCTGGAAGAGTTCATCAGTTTTAATTAGTGTAATCGCGAACGTTGCACTAACAGTTTAGTGAAGGAAAGTAATTACTCACACATCCACCGTGTTAGATGGAGAGATTAGAATTCATTTTCCAAAACGATCAGCGTTTTGCCAATTAAAAGAATTCCTTCTCCCTGCCAGCAGCCCTGTGACCTCACACGCCCAAGATCATTTAAATGAAACGTATTTTGCATGGGAAGATGGAGCAGAAAGAAATGAAGAATTAGGGCCGTGCCTGTTCTCGGGGCCGAGCAAACGCATGGCTCCCCACGAGTCTGTGAGTTCTCGCTCCACGTGCACAGTCATTCGCTTGCGTCGCTCTGCATTATGCTCTCGGCTGCAGCGATTAAAAGATGAAAAAGCTAGTGGAAGTTGAGGCCAAAAGGAAGCAAGGAGTCGTCCAGACACGATGGCAATTGCCAGGGCCCGACAGTCGGACCAGGACGGGGACGTGGCGGCTGGCGCCATCCCAAACCCCAGGAGCTCCCTAAAGCATGAAGCTGCGTCTCTCGGCCCCGCTGCTGACTTCCGTTGCAGTCTGGGTGCCACCATGGTGCCTCAGCTCAGCTGCTCAGCTTACGAGCCTTGGGCAACACAGTCCAACTGCTCTCTAGCACCCTGGCCACCAGGTCTGCTCCCAGAGGTCCTCCGTCTCCCGGCCACTTGGAAACTGTCATTTCTAACCAGCCCATGCTCCTTATACTTGGCTCCTTGCACCTGCTGCTCACTCTGTTGGCAGACTCTTGCCTGTTTTGTTACAGCATTCACCCTTCACGCTTCGCCCGGTGTAAACGTCACGTCACACTGACCGGAACAGCTGTCTCCCCCATTTGTAGTGTCAGAGCCCCCCCTGCATCTTACACAAACTCGTAGTGAGCTACTGAGGCAGGAACGAGGATCTTACTCAGCTCAGGATGCTCAGCCCCTTGCGTGTGGGGGGCAGTGTACACATTTCTGTCGAATGGCTGCACGAATTATAGGCATATCCCCTCACCAGCCTCATGGCATCTCAGCCCAGGAGGCCCAGCCTGGCCAGACTCCTGAACATCACAGAGGCGGGAACGGAGGCCTTTGCATACGCTACGTACTAGTTCCCTTCCCTGCATTTAAGGCTAAAGGGTAAGTCAGATGCATCACGAGCAGGATTCACGGGCCCGGTGGGTATGCAGGATGGTGACAGCAGCCTGCCCAGGGGCTGCCGTCCAGGAACAGGGCAGGAGCTTCTGGAAGGGCCCCTGTGGCTCAGACTCCGGGTCTGCACACTCCCAGGGGGGACGCAGAAACCGGCAGCTCAGGCCAGTGACTCAAAAGCAGAGCTTGCAGGCCACCTTCACCACCAGGGTGACCACCCCAGCCCACTGTGTGCCCTAAAGAAAGGGGAGCTGGCCAGGCCCTGCTGCTGGCCACACTCTGAGCCCGAGGAGACAAACTCTGGCAGCCGTGGGGGTGAGTGTGAAAGTGTGAAAGGCAGACTGAGGCCCTCGTCCTCTGTGTGCCAGGCGAGCGCTCAGGTGCCCACAGGCTCCTGAAGACCAGAGGGGCTTGAAGAGCCAGGCGGAGGGACATGCTCCACCTGAGGGCGTCCCGGAGACCACTGCCCTGTGACAGCTTTGTGCCTGGGGCTCCGGCAGAGCTGCACCTCCACTGCACAGCCCAGAGAAAAGGACTCGGGGATGGAGGAGGGAGCTGGAGACGGGATGCCTGGGGTTAGGGGTGCTGGATGGGGCGGGGGGGGGGGCTGCTGCTGTGCTCAGAGTCAGAGGCGTGAAAATGGAGCCCAGTCTTTCCCTTGGCGATCTCAGGCCCATGACCACAGGAAGCCTGTTTCTTCATCTGCAACACATGAATCACGGTCCTCGTGTCACAGGGAGGACCCTTGTGAAGACCACAGTGGACGATAAGCAGACCAGTGTCCGTGCCACCGACGCCGAGAAGCGTGGTGTCTACTTGGCTCGTGGCTGTGCTTCCACTGCCCGCGGGGTCTGCCCATAGCAGGTGCTCGGTGACCACGTACTGAGACCGGCTTAGAAGGTGCCCTCGCAGCTCCTTGTGTTTGGGGGGCATTGGTGGGGCACACTGCCACGAGGAACAAAAAATCGGGAGAGGCCCAGGGTGGAGGCTGCCTGGTGCCGGGCCCCTGAGAAGCTGCTGGCGGGGCCAAGTCTCGGGTGAGGCTCCCTCCCTGGGGGCCGTGGCCCCAGGGCACACGAGCAGCTCTGCGTCCCACCACTGCGTTACGGGAAGGGTACCTAGAGCAGCACAAGCCCTGACGGGAGGGACAGGTGGACACTTGCTGAAATTGTGTTTTAAAAACAATAGCCATGATAAACCACGGGGGAATAATCCAGTGACACCCAGCGCCTGCACGTAAATAGCAACAGCATCAAAA